CTGACTTCCTTGAATAAGACACCCTTCAGTTTTTAGGGTAAGGATTTTAGAAAAAAGTATCTTCTTATAGTCAGAAAAATATGGTATATAGGATGTGGCAAGCCAATACAGAAATGTGCTTGATGTCCCCTTACATAAAGTATGAACACTTTGGATTTTATATAATGATAACACATAACATGCAAATAAAATGTTATAAAAGTTATAGGATTCAAGAATTTCCTTTCCAGTGCCAAACTTGTTTAGCATGAATGTGCTGGACCAGTTTTAGACTACATTTATGTCTAGGTTGTTTTGTAGCTTAAGCATAAAAGAATGTTGGTAAATAAGATCAAGACTTCAGAGAGCATTCCTCCCTAAAGTTTTCATATAAACATCTGGAAATCATCTTGGCAGACTTCTTTCAGGGGTTTTTCCATGATGAGGGTGTTAACAACTATAAATGCCATCTTGCTTATTACTCTTTTTTCTAGCCATTAGAAGCCTGCAACTGTTTTTTTTTCTAAATAATTTTATTAAGAATTATAAATGAAAAGAATGCAAGTCAATACAAACTGCAAAAAATACAAACAGAAAAATACAAAAAAAGGGTGGGGGGAGGGAGTGTAGGAAAAAGAAAAAGTAGTTTCCCTCTTTATCCCAGCAGGTAAAAACAATTTTAATAGTTTATCACTGTCTCTAAATAAAACATAATCTCTCTTCTCCCCATAACTCATCTCTAGGTAACAAAAAAACAAAATCCAAATGCTTTGTCAATCATTCTTTGTCAGCAAAAGTCCAGTAAGGGCAACCAGTTATATCTATTTTCCTCTATTAGTCCTGATCAAACAAGCCAACCTTATAAACCTTCCCTGAATTTTTAAAATTATTCTTTAACCCCTTCAAAAAAGGTCCCAAAGGTAATTTGCTGGTCATCTGCGTATCCAGACAAAAATCCTTCCGAACTTCAACAGATTTCTTTTGCATGTCCATTAGGTAAAGTTTATCCTTTTGTTTCTCACTTCTAAAAAAGTCTTTCCAAACCTTAGCAAAGCTCTTTTGGGTATCCAGAAGAAAAAAATATCCAAATCAATTTCCAACAGGTTTGATATCTGTTCATCTCCTTTAGGAGATAAGTAATCCATCAGGTCCATTTTTACATCTAAGTCCTCCTTCAGATCAATTTCATAGACATCCATTACAATTTGTTCTTGTTTTACAACTTCATTAAGAGATGTTCTGTCCAGTTTCTCAAGCAGTTGATCCACTCTATCCAGTAACTTGGCTGAGAGGTATTTAAAAATTTGCACTAAGGATTTCTGCTCCATTTTCTTAGTCCTTTAACTCTCTCTAATGTCCAACCTTCAAAGTCTCCTTATCATAAAGAAACAAAGGCTTTCTTCCCATGAGAAGATATCTTCTAATTAATTCAAAATTATAATTCCAAATTTCTGTGGCCTCTTAATTCACTATTAACTTTCCAAAATCCACATACTAAGCACCCTTTTGCTGCATAGCCCCCCCAAAATCATATATTTTCAAAACGTTTAAGATCAGATTTACACCATCATCTTTTAAGGAGGCGGAGACTCACCCGATGAATACAGTAAAACCTTGCTGCTCCAAAGGGTCTTAATCTCTCCAATATATAACAAATAAAAAATTAATCCACAAAAGTGATTAAGATAAAGGCTTGGTGGAGTTGGTTTGTGAGTGTGACCTTGATGTAATCCTGACTCCCAGCCACTCCACTCATAAGCCAGCCATAAAATGATAGTTTCCATGGTCTACTCACGAGTAGCAAGTGTCTGGAGTCATGTGGATGATCTCATTGATCTCTCCTTTGATCTGGAGAGGAATCCAGCTGCGGACAGAAGGAAGCTCCAGTTTCTTGGACTGCTGGGTTGGGGGGGGCATGACCCTGTTAGATTAGTTGGCTCCCTTCTTGGAGGATTTGGCCCAGCCAAAACAAACAGGTCATTGAATAGTACTACTGGTAAGCAGCGCAAGGCAAGCAGCTTGCCATGTCCTCTATGTGGAGAATTGCCTGTGCCACATGCCTGTCCTGCCTTTCCTGCATTAGTCTGTGATCCAGAGGTGTGGAGAGGACACTGAGGGGAAGGTGTCTTCTGTACCAGGAGGAGGAAGGTGTCATCCTGTTCTTCGCAGGAAGCAGCATTACCAGCTCTTCGTAATTCCTCTCCAGACAAGGAGAGGACTTGAGATTGTCCACAAGACAGTGGTCTCCAGTGGGTTTAGAGCTCTGGGAGATGGGGAATAGCCATCCTTTTGCTTAAACCGCAGTCAGCACCTTCAAAGGACACTGGGTTTGCATATTTCCTTTTCTAATCGCTTTTGGAAAACGCTTGTTAACTGCTTTTCAGCTGTTAGGAACCTTGGGATCAACAAGTTTTATAGCACCAGATGAGTTTCCTTCAATCCTTTGCAAAAGAAGCTTTAAATACAAGTTTAAGGACTTAAAAAAAATTCTTTTGGAGTAAACAGCAAAAGGGTGATTAGAACTTTGATTTTGGAAAGTTACGAATGGACTAAGAGTCCAGATGGATTTGAAATAAGATTTTGAAATTAATTATAAGAATCCTTCCCTTGCTTTTGTTTTGAATTCCCTTAAAAAAACATGATAGGATGAGACTTTGAAAATTGGACACTAGAGGGAACCAGAAGGAACTAAAGATTACAATTAAAGGAAAAGAATACTTAAATTTGACTTACTAATACAGAATGGAGCAAAATACTTTAACATTGGGTGTATTGAGAAATATTTGTGAACAGTGGACCCAGAAGTTAATTTTTAAAAGTGTCTGCCATTATAGACAGACTGTATTTATGATGTTATAGAAAAGGAACAAGTTTTACCAGACAAGACTGATCTAAAAGTAGATTTAAACATGACAAGCTACAAGAATGATATGGAAGAACATGCTGTACTGGACATGCAAATGAAACTGGCTGATGTCTTAAGAATTAAAGGGGATATACAAATAACAAACCAAAAGCATGACTTGGATAACTTTCCTATATTGGATTTATAAAAGAGACTTGTAAAGCTTTGAAGAATTTTGTGAGAAGGGACAAAGAGAAAATGAAAAATCAAATTTTAGGACATTACTTGAAGGGACTAAAGATCAAGATTGTTAAAAGTAAAAGGAAGGAATATAAAGTTGGTTTAGTTGATCAAGGTTAAAATAGATATGTTATCTCTGGTACCCCTTAATGGACTTTTGCTGATCAGGACTGAAATGAGGAGGT